GATGACGAATAAAATTGGTAGAAAAAATATTTAGAATAGAACACTTTGGTACTATAATAATAATTATAAAAAAAAAGATATATACATGTACATCATGTACGTTGTACAGACTTATTTTAGTTATTTATTCAATTCTCAAAGATCTACCTTTCTTCAGTATTTAATTTCATTTTTTAGTTTTACGCATATTTCTTCAATCAATCTATCAATCTTTTATTTGAATCTTTTTACCATTTTACATTAGTATACATAGACCATAAAAACATATAAAATGTAGGTGATTTTATACATAACAGTAGGTCTAAAAGGCATGCGTGAATAAGAAACTAAACAAAAAATTTTTGTAGGTTGCTATAAATGCGAAGTAAGGGAATTTAGGCCGGGGAGTATATTTTGTTCATCAGATAAAAGAATATCCCGTTGGAGGTGGTCACATGTATTTTCAATTCTGAATCTCTGCTAACGATGGTTTGGGACCGGTAAATACATGAAATACGTAGACGAGAAATTGACTTCAATTTTTAATTAAAAAAAAAAGTGTGCAAAATATACAATCATATAAATATAAAGAGAAAGATTGTTTAGTGAAGCACTTTTTTGAAATAATATTAGCATTAATTGTACACAATTCAGATGCAGGGAAACTCCACTTCGCTTTATCCGAGAGAAAAAAAACCTTAAATGTATATGGATTTTGAATGTAAGAAACACAGAAACATGACGTTGTGTATCGCACTCATGAATAAATGTTACAATTACTTCAGCTCTGAATTTTGTATGGTTCATTGCAATTGATTCTCTAAAATAATTTTATTCATGCATAATCATAAAAAATTCGATAAGTATAATATCATAACTTGCATGACTTTTAAAACACACAACTAAAGAACAGACCTTGCCCTATCGGCTATCACTTAATTGTAAACAGTATTTCACCCCCTCCTTTTTGTGCTACAATCAAGTAAAATCATATAAATAAACACCAAGTCTGTACTGTTCGTTTATACAAAGGTCTCGGACAAAAATGGAATTAAAAAAAAATTATAATCTCTGCACAAAATTCTAATTTTACAAAAGCGCAATTAACACACTGCTCAACGCGTTATCGGCTACTCGGTTGTTATCGGACACTCGGTGCAAGAATAGCAATGTTTAGAAAATGTAGGTAATTTTAAAATTCATATTACAACGATAAATATGTATTTCAGCAAAAAAAGTTTGTGATCTATGACAGATAATTGATTATACTTTCAGCAGCAGAAAGCACAAACCAAATCACACTCTTTCAAAAGATCTACAACTCTTTCAAATGATATTTTAATTACAAAAATTTCGGAATATGTCATCACATTTTTACTTCTGTAGAATTCAAAATTAGTTTATTCTATCAAACAAACTAATCTGTTTATTCTATGGACAATCAGATACCTTTAGATCAGCAAACTGAGATTAAAAATCCAAATTAAGGGTTAGTAAACAGTATTTTAAAATGTCTCGTTAGTTGAAAACATGTTATCGTCAACACGGTTGATGTTGCCGGATACTTCGGTTGTAAACGGGTGTATGTTGTCGGAAACTCAGGTTAAAAAGTTTCCTTTAGCTTCATAAATGGATTGGAAAAAGTCCATTATAATCTGCCAATTCTTGAAAACAGCAAACGTAATAGTTTGTTTGTTATGAATGTATATAAATAAAATTAATAATTTTAAATTTATAATAGAACTACTCATCTGCTCAATCATTATTCTTGTTTTCCATTCAAGAAAACCTCTTGGAAACCGCTTCAGGCGGTTTCAGACGTAAATATATTATGTTTAAAATTAATCATAACAATTTTGCTTTAATTAGACTTCCAATATACCAGATACGTTATTTAAAAAAAAAAACCAAGTTCAATTTCCCCCATGATACCCGGGGAACTAATTTTTTTTTTGTCCAGTAATGTCAATTAATTATCACGTCACAGTTACACATATAGCAGGTATGGCTTAAGTAGGGGTGTCCCGTATATGAAACAAGTGCCTGTGATTGTGATGTTAGGACTTATATTGCTCCGCAGAAGAACATCTAACATATTTTTTAGAAGCTTAAAATAGAATCACCCAGTTTATAGGACTTTTTTGATACTTGATCATGTGATCTTGTGTAAATCAGACAGCTGTCAACATTAAAGAAAAATTATAATTAATTCTTTTTTTATATATACAATGTAACTTGGCTATTTAATAGATTAAAGAGACTATCCTTTAACAAAAAAGCATGGTCCAGAGAAAAAAAAATTAAAAAAAATAAAATAAAGGAAGCCGACTAGAATTTTATTGTGTTACAAACACTTTAATTTAAAAAAAATATATAACTCATTTTCCAACCGTTAAAAATACGTACTAGTATTTAGGAGCAAGGGGTGCTGGTTGCTTCACTTTAATTCCTCGTATGTTTAACTTTTTCTACAAACAGTTATTTGCGTTTTCAATTACAAAAGGGGGGGGGGATGGGCAGAGATTTTTTGCTTCAGTATAAACATCCAATAGCAATGCAAAATCCATGTCACCCCCCCTCCCTCCATCCGAGCATTTAGCTCTATCTACACATTGAATTTGAGCACACTGTGGGATATGACCATTCATCAGGGGGTTCTTATTCCTTCTTGGTACGTTAAACAACCTCCAATGTTTAAGAGATCCGTGTTTATGATTTTGTAATTTTTTAAAGTCAACCTCTTTTCTCCTCAAAATTTTGAATTCTATGTCATATATTTTGGTCTAACTACCTACTAAGTATTTGGAAATTCATCTAACCACCCTTGAGTTTAAATTCTTTAATTGCTTTACATGTACCAGGTATATACCAAACTTATAAATGTATTCGTGTTTGAAAGCTTGTGAGTTTGATTCACGGCGGCGACTGACCTAAGTCGATAAAAATGGGTAGCAACTGTTCCTTTGCCATGCGCTCAGCACCTTGATTGTATGTTGTTTAACGCCCTCTTGAGAATTTTCCAGTTATATGGAGGCGCCATCATTCGCCGGCGGAGAGCTTCAAAATTTGTCATATTCTCAGCACTCAGGGCCATTGAGCAGTGAGGGATCTTTTTGTGCTAGCGCCTACTGCGACGTCCCAATGTGGGATACAAACCCGCAACGTAAGGATCGACTCCTTATACTTGGTGACTCTAGAACAGACACTTTGACCACTGCGCCACGCGGGCAACCTCGGTACCTTGAAATGAAATTTAAAACTTTAACCATATTTTCGAACAGGTCAAGATCATGCAGATTTCAGTGAGAAATGTCAAAAATGCACTCATTTTTTAAAAGTTATGTATTCTTAAAAGAGGCAAATTGTAGCCAAAAATTAGAATTTCGTGCCAGCAACTTTAAATATTTAGGTTTCATAGGGATTTCTGTCGTTTCTTCGCATTTTTCCCTAATCTATGACAACCTAGCTGTGTTTCCGATAACCAAAACCGAGTTATCCGATAACAAAGTGCATTATTCAACCGTATTTCCGATAACGTACTAAAAGTTAAAATTGGGCAATTTTTGCTCTTTAATTACATATTCGCAAGATTCTGTGGAAGTCTAAATCTTGTGGACAATCATTAACGCAAGGTAAATATAAGGATTTGGAAGAAAAAAGCTATTTACAACAATGCCAATCGGAGAAAAACTTGCAAAATATAACAAATTTGACTTTTAAAGCCTTCCAAAGGCTAACAAATGCTATTAATACTTATACGTATCGAGGCTTTATTTTGTATCCGTATTAATTTCTGTTCACAAAAAGCACAATGAATATTCTCTGTTTCTATTTTAACAGAGTTTGTTTAAAATAATTTACTAACCTCTCAAAAATTGTTATCAACCGAGTGTCCGATAACAACCGAGTAGCCGATAACGCGTTGAGCAGTGTGATTAAGCCGTAACGATATCCCTATGGCAGAATGTACTAATAATTGACCCGATTCTAAAACGAAAGTAGAACTTTTACACGTGGTTGACATGTATGTTCCAGAACAACAAGCACAAAGTGTGCATTAATGGAAAAAGTTAATTCAAGCTATGATTTATTTTATTTTGTTTTTTAACTGACTGACCGCATATAACATGTTTAAGGAGTGGCGCATAATATTAGAAGCCATATGCCCATAGACTTAAAACAGTATACAATGAAAAAAGAATTAGCCTAAAGAAACATGAGAAAGACATGTATATATTTCATTGACTGAAAATCACACTGCATAAGATTTATGTCATGTAGTGTACAATACTTAAGCCTTAACAAATAATTTAAGAGAGAGAGAGAGAAAGCTAGAAAGCGACACAATGATATAAAATTCGCAGGGAGGACATCGGAGATTTACTAGAGCGCGCTGTCTACATAATATATATAAAAAAAATAATTAAAGGTTCTTCAATTTAATTATTTAACCCTGTCACATTCTTCTATAAAATAACAAAGTGTACGCTTAAGACTAGATTTTATGACAAATATTTAATACTGTCTTGTTAAAATGAGAGCTTAATTTAAAAGTAAATGGAAAGGGGGGGGGGGTGTTTTCAACTTAATGTGCTCATGCATTTTCAGTTCTCCACACGGTAAAATAAATTGATATTTACAACCATTGACTGTATCGAAGTATTAAAGATACCTACAAAAAGCTTTTGATGACAGTACACAGACATGTGAGAAAAAATATGAGATGAGATTTTTTTGAACCTTTACGACAAATATTAAACTTTTTAAAAAAGTACTTGGGAAGAAAAACCACGGAAAATACAATAGATTAATTTTCCTCAGATAATGTCATCCACACGGTAAAATAAATTGATATTTAAAAAACATAAACATTTATGAAAGCTTATGTTACAAATTATTGAAAAAATGAAGTATTAAATTAAGATAAGTGAAAAATTCTGGTTGCCATTATTGAAAAAATGGTAACAATTGAAAAATTGAAAATTTAAACAAACATTCAGACAAACCAAAATCCAGTGCATTTGTAACATTGTGATGTAAAATCTACATTTATTTTTAATATTTTAATTTTAGCCCCTAATACCTAACTGCAGGATATACAATTTGAATAAAAAAATTGAATCAACAGGACTAAGGAATCTTTACATATTTTCATATTTATAGAGATGACATGGCCAAAATATTAACAGAAAGGCTGTGCTGAGGTTTCAAATCAGATGAGCTAAAGCCCAAAACAATGGATTTTTCTTAACTCGGGAGGAGTTATCATTGCATATAACTAGACACATTTCCACAAAACATCCATGAATCACTTATAAGATAAAATAAAAAGGAATTAATCTACCTTGCTTCTGTGTGAAAGATTAGGTATTAGGGAAAAAATTAGGACAGTGAGGTCAAGGTAACGGGGAAGTTAATATTAGAAAATTATGACACACTTGATGTGTGTTAGTGTATTTAATTTTATATAATATATTGGAAGGCTTCTTTAAAATTGATATTTTTAAACAGTACATGTATAAGTAAAGTCAAGATGAACAAGATGCGTTTGTGAAACACTACAAGCCCTGCGGCAACAAAGTTACAAAAACTATTTTTAACATATAGGTCAAAGTCAAGGTCACAAGGTCAATGATCTTAATGCTATTTGAAAGAACTATATAAGTGGAGTATGCATACTCTGTATCTCCTATGGCTCAAAAGTTATGGCGAAAGTTTGAAAACAGCTATTTTTAGCATTAAGGTCACAGTCAAGGTCACAAGGTCGATGACTTTGGTGTCATTTGTATATGCTTAATTAGTGAAGTATGCATACCAAATATGAAGTCTCTATATCTCAAGGTTCAAAAGTTATGGCGAAGGTTAAAGTTTTCAACAGACAGACAAACAAACAGATAAATAGACAGGACAAAAACAATATACACCTCAGATCTATCGATCCGGGCGCATAAAAAGTTGACACATTGATACAAGTTGTCATAAATGTACATTAATCCATGTGTTAAGATAAAATACCTTCAACATTTTTGTTAAAACTGATTTAAATGCAAAATTTAAAAATTTAAGGTCAGGTAATACTTTTTGTATAAAGTTGAGTATTTCTCAACAATTTGCATCTGTATATATGTCTACATACAAATACCTAGAATAGTTTCTTTGAAAATGAGATAAATACAAAATAGAATGTTTAAAGCAGTTGTTAACACTCACCAATATGTATCAGTAGATGAAGTTTGATAAAAATACTTTGAATAGTTTCTTTAAAAATGAGGTAAACAAAATATGCATTTGATGGGCAGACTAGGGGACAGAAAAACAGTTATACAGAAACAATACTTTAGGTTTTAAAAATGGCAATAGTCATAGTGCAGCATCAAAATATCATTGCAAAATGCAGAAATAATGGAGTAGGGTTCCTGTAATCTGTTTATGTCAATCACTTATGCTTTGAAAAACTTCCTCATTTTGAAGTTCACCTAAAACAGCTAACAAATCACTGTCACTTGAAACTAACTCACTTTTGTCCACACAAAGTACATTTGATTGGTTGGAATTTATTGCAAGTCGAGAAAAAAATGAAGAAATCTGACTTGGCTGTAACCATTCACATGGAGAGAACTTCCCTCTTCCATCTTCCATCATAGTTCACATTTCCAGAGCAACAGCTGTTGGATTCTCCTTTCTACCACTTTCTTCTCCTTTCTTGAATAACTCGGTCAAGAAGTTCTTCACTTTTTGAGAAAATCTGCTGTATCTCTTTTCTTTCTTCAAAGCCCATCCTAGAACTGGCACATCTACACTGTCTGAAGCCTCGGACTCATGATCAACTCTAGGACGGGTAGCTGCCAACACAGTATCACATTTTTCGGCCCATAGTTTCTTTGCTTTGTCACTAGAAGATTCTGACACTTTTTTAAACACATGATTTCCAATGAGTAGATGCTCATTCAGCTTCTCAAAAGTCTGATATGACTTCAAACATCCATATTCAGGACAAAAGAATAACTTAGAATCTGTTCCTGAAGGTTCAACACCATCATCGTCATTTGCTGAGGTATCAGATTGATCATCACGTGGTTCTGGTTGATTCTCTGGTGCCCTAAGATGAATTTGGCCATGTTCTTCAGTGTGGTTGAAATCACTTAGGATCTTTAAACTGGTAGTAGATTGCGCATGACCTAGTTTCTGAAGACTTTCTGTATCTTTGAAGGACCCCTCTCCAATTTTGTATGCTTTCCATGTTCTTAACCCTGCCGTGGTGAATTCTATATTGGATATAAAGCTTACTCCCTTCCAAGAATGCTTTGTGAGTGTTTGCTTAGTGACATCAACATCAACAACAGCAATGCAGGTTCCCTTGACTCCTGCACCACTCTCAATTGCCTCTTTCATCTGCATAGCTGTACAAATATTATGGCCCTCCGAAGAAAAAATCCTCATCTTTGATCTCATGTGGGCGATTTTTGCATCACAGTAGCTTTTACCACTCTGTGCTTCGCTGTAGTCAAAACGCTTCACAGTTATTCCTGAAAAATTGAGAATACATACAATAGTATTTTTATTTGATGAAAAAAATTTCACTACAGCATACATTTATTTTCAAGGAAGCTTTTTTCAAGAACATTTTTACTTTTGCTTGCATTAATGTTCAAAGAGACGCAACATGACTACCCACCAAAAAGAAATTCAAACTTTATTTTCATTGAAAAAAAAATAAATTCAGAGAAAACATTTTTATGCATGTATTATGAATCCCATAAAAACATATTGTACATGAGGAGAATGAGAAAATCATTCCTGTAAGAAGTATAATTTATGATAATGTAAAGAATCACAATTTTCTAGACAAAGATATCCATTTATTGAAGAAAGAACAAATTCCAATGCAATGAAAGCATCAACATTTTCAGATGCTTACAAGGTATGCATTGTGCATAACTGAAAAAAAGGTTACCTGTTCTTTCTGACAATGATGGTATGGAGAGCCATAACTGCCCACAATGGTAGCATCCGGCATTGTCTGATCTGAGGTAAGCTTCCGTAATGTGTGGCAGCTGTTGTTTAATAGTTACTAATGCATGTTCTAGTAATGAAAGAACAGCAAAGAAGTCCTGCTTCACATAATCCATGATGTGAGTAAAAGTCCTGTGCTACAAAAGAGTAAAATTGTATGAGGCATATGTTCACAAACTGTAAAGTAACTTCATTTCTCATTTACAAAACCCAATCTTTCACATACTATACACATGGAGTATGCATAATACACCAGACAACTAAACTTTAATTAACTATTGATAGATGTATACCCGATAATTTTTACATGTGCACAGTCAAGTGTTCTAATCTTAAACTCCATGGGAATGCAGAACACTTGAGAGGATGCATGTATCAAGTTTAAAACTTGAATGATATTTAATTCTTACAGGTTTGAATGAATTAATTTGAGATATCCATGATATTCAAGAAATAAGTTCCAAGAAAGTGTAGGTGAACTGCATATCATCCATGTATATATATTTATATTAGCTTACCACTAGACTTCCATTTTGTTCCTTGAAAACTGCAACACACACATGCCAGTGTACTCCTTTCTGTCCAAAGAAGTCTTTCATTTTCTCACGGTACATCTGCGGCAAATATTTCATCGCCCAGTCTAAAATCACTAAAACCTGGTTGTTGTTCAGATTATGCAGCACATCTACCCTTCCGTCATCCTGATTCACAGTTCTTATGATGTGTGATCTCCAGTCCTCTACTTGTGTTACAGACATTTCCAGATCTTGTAATAGTACCTCTTGCTCTTCTGATGGAGACTTTATAATGACCTTGCGGATCTCCGTGACAGATTCACCAAATAAGTTACACCTGCTGCAGGTCTTATTATGCTCATGGTCACATGAAACACTAAGATGGCTTGATTTGGGGTCACTAAGTGCATACTGTAAGCAGTGGAAAGCGCATTCATCTTCCCGCTTGATGTGGAGCTTGTAGTCAGTCTTTAAGTACAGTCGAGCATTGAACAGCTTTTCCTTCAGTTCTTTTTTCCATTGCTGAGGCTCATCAAGTTTATCAACTAAGCTAGTCAGACTGTCAAATGCAGAAGATCCATCAACAGCAATGTTATCAAGTCCTTTCAGGCACTTCCGTTTTGATGCACTGCATGCATTTAGGACTTCATATAGAGTGGACTCACTGAGAGGCTCAAAGTTACATGTATTACTGGCGCAGTATGTGTTGTAAAGTTTGATCAAATTTGAATGGATCATAGTCCTAACTACATCAGGAATTACTAAGGTGTCTCCAGAATCTAGCTTTAGGTTCCTTGTAGTGTATGATGAAATCTGGTTGAATGATGGATCACTGAAAAATTCCACTGCATGCTGTAACTTTGCAAAATTGATTCTTTGTCTGTGTTGAGAAGATACTGTTTGCTGAACACCTGATCCAGGACCATTTACAAAAGCATGTCTCCTGGCTTTATCTATCTGATGCTTTGTAACCTCTGGAAACTTTGTCAACAGTTCAGCCTTTGAACATCTATTTACTATTAGAGACAAAAGTTGACATTTCACATCTGCATCCTTGATATTGTGGTACAGTTCACTGACAACACGAAAAAGGTCATGATCATTAGCTTCCGAATTTGGTAATGTCATCTTCTTAAGTATCTCTCCTTGATGAGGAGCAATGGCATCTAGAAGAGCTGTGCAAGTCTCCTGTGCTTTCCTTTTGTAGTATCTAAAAATTAGAAAGATATATTTCATATTTTGTTTAAAATACTCTTTCTTCTGCTGTTAGAAGAGTAAACACATATTGAATATGACATGAAGAAGACCGAAATTATATTTCAGTCCAATTTTAGCATGAGGCCCATGGGTCACTGTATCACCTGAGCATAATTTTGAATAAATATGAAACTAGAGGTCTGAGTTGCTTTCTAAAACTTATGCTCCCTGTATGCAAAACTGCAGATTGAAGATTACTTATTTCTCTGAAGTACTTAATATTGCAAAATGGCTCTTTGACATCAAATTGTTACAGACCCTAAACCGTGCTACTGGGTTTTTCAGAAGTGCTGCAAATCACAAAGCGAACCGTTCCGTGCAAAAGCGTATTGTTTCCGTGCACAAAGCGTGGTTCTCATCCGTTCGCAGCGTAGACAAAGACCGTTCCGTGCAAAAATGCCGTTCTTTGGTTAATTATGCAAACCACGCCCCCAATGATTTTTGAATCGTGTAACAACCAAATAAGTCATTTTGGTTTATTTCTCGCTACGGCGCCTGTGAAAGGAGGACGGAGGTTGTGTCTGCCTGTTTGAAACACCATTATCAAGTATCATGCATATGCGCCTGGGCCTTCAACTGTGAAAATAAGGAAACTACTAGAGAGAAGCAAAATACAACTTTAAAACAACTAGACAGAGTGTGAGACGATTTCTTATTTGCTATAAATTAGATCAACTGGTTGTGTTTGTGGTCAAACGTACAGTACAGGCCAGGAGTTTTTCCCACAAAACACGTAAGTGTGGACCTTTCTTTGAAGTCTTTCATTTTCTTTATATTAGCAAATTAAATCAATTTTCTTTTGAAATATTAGTTTATTTTAACAATCGTAATTTAATTATATAGATATTTAAAATAAAATTATAAGGTGCCCCAAAATTCAATATAATCGTGCTCGTGACTGGGGAAAAAACCCTCTTTTAATGTGTACATGTACACATTAAAAGTTTCATAATCCTATAATTATATTTGACATAAAAATAGGTTCAATAGACTATATACCACTAAGAAAATGTTTTTCATGAATTTATTCCCTGGTTGTCTCTACTTTTGATTTTAATTTTGCTCATTTAAATTATTAAATCTTATCGGATACAAGATCATTTTTGTCGTAAGTATGCATTCTTATGTAATCCATATCAGATGCGTGATTTTACTAATGAATTTTTTTGTAAGAATTATAAAACATATATTAACTGTGTAGAGTAAAAATTTAAAAAAGAACCGTATTAGACTCTCGCATTAATTCCGTTAAGATTTTTACTATAGGCGGTGCAGTTTTACTTACACTGAAAATCTGTAATCATGTAAAATATGGATTAAAATATTACATGCGGTAAACGTGAAGATTTCTACTGAACTGACAGAGATGATACATGTAATCTTACTAATAAAACTGTGATAAACTTTCACGCTGCATATACAAAAATCGCCAGCCGAATTTCTTGCAAATAAAATATGCAAACTGCAGTATAAATATTACTTCATTCTGAAATACATCTCATGAAAAATGAAAAAAAAAATCTTTGAAAAAAATAAAGATATTATAGATTTGTTACACTGTATCCCGATCCCCTTGTAGAAAGCAATTGTGTCGAAGAAGTCTGCAAAATCGTACGTTGTTGTAAATAAAAAAAATAATAATCTACAGGAAACATCATTATTAGTGTCTGAAAAAAGATAATTTACTAAATAAAATGAAATTTAAAAAAAATCAATCCTCTTTCAAGCCATTCGAGTTATGTTTGTTACCCCCCCCCCTCTAGAAGGTGATACTTATGCAACTTTATGACTTTAAATTGTGCTGATAATTTAGGGATAGATGCTTCATTTTTGTCTGAAAAAGGATAATTTAAGAAGTAAATTTATAATCAATATTGTGGTAAAACCTGGAAGATGAATTTACTGGATATCAGTTGAGTGATTACTTGATGTGGTCAGAACTAAATAATTGGAAAGGTGTGTTAAACACGCGCATCCCCCCCCCCCCCCCCCCCGCCCCTCCGGCTGTGACTCAATATTTTATTTAAACAGGTGTGAACTATGAACTGACCATAAGAATGTTTCAAATAACAGGAGAAGTTCTTCTTGCGTAAACGGACTTTCAGGGTCACCTAGCGTCATACCATTTTGATTGACAGGTGATGCACGAGAATTTCATGCGTGCAGCATGCATGTACAGAGAACGGATTATTCATTGAACAATAGTTGTAAAGGGGTTGATTAAATAGAATCATATACTGATTAATTGTGACTTTAGCGATATGTAAATAAACGAAGAATGAGAATAAATACAACTTATTTTTTTTTTTTACAGATAATGTATTAAGGGGTTGAATCTTTCTCTCTATCCCCTCTCTCTCTCATTCACGACATCGATTTTACAGACTACAAGAATAGAATAACTTAATAAAATAAAGAAAACTTATTGAAATAATTACTTAATACACTGAAAGGATTATTGAAAACATAAATACTTGTCTGTGAAAAGAATGTTTTCTGTAACGAGAAAGTGCTCTGAAGTTATTGTATTGATTTCTTGTTTCTGCTGCTGATTTTCGTATTTATTTTGTTTACTGATATTTTTCCTCTGAAGCAAACGTTTGAACGGTAGATCTATTATTTTAAAAATAAAAAACAATGTACGTACATATCTAATTACTAGAAATAAAAATGAAGCAGGAAGAGTCATATCTATTTCTATAGATCAATGAATTAAATATAAGTTACATATGTGCGTAGCGTTATATGTATAGAACAAGTATATACCCGATATATATATTAATTCCTTTTAATTATCTTACAACTTTATTTGAAAGTGAAAAAAATATTTCATTCGAGTTCTATATATATTAATACATATCTATACATAATATCAAAGACATCGGTGGGATGATGTTTTTTCTTCCTTTCATTTTTCCTCAATCACCGCTGTAGTGTAAATTAATGTTTAAATTGAAACCGAGAAATTAATTTGTTAAAAGCGGAAATATAATTATATACGTGCAATAAGTACTTCAAAAGTCATTTGAAATGAATTAATTTTTAGCAGCCAATCAAAAATTAAAACTAAAAGGCTCCGCCCACTTCATTTGCATACCGTTTCCCAAAGCGTACCGTTCACAAAACGAACCGTTCCGTGCAAGAAACGTACCGTCCACAAAGCGTACCGTTCCGTGCACAAAGCGAACCGTTCCGTGCACAAAGCGTACCGTTCCGTGAACAAAGCGAACCGTGTGCACAAAGTAGTACCGTTCACAAAACGAACCGTTCAAATTCCGTGCAGTACCGAACCGTACCGTCCAAGTGGTGTAGTAGCACGGTTTAGGGTCTGTAGAATGCTGGGTTTTTCAGAGGTGCTAAATCATGAATATTTTATGGATCTAAGAGAAGAGAAAAATGCTAAAACATTTTTAGTGCAAATGTAGTTGCTCATTATATATTTTATAAATGAAACGAAGGCGCAGACTAATAAAAAAAATAGACTAAATGATTGAGTAAATATACAGACCAGACACAAATTATGAACTTTTTCTGTCAGTGACCTTGAACTTGCATAATGACTTTGGTACAAAGTCATGACACAACCTCAGGTTATAAGCTATGTTTGTCTGAAGTAGTAGATTCAAGTTTTTCCATAATAAAGATATGTACCAAACATGAATGATACAATTTTTATTTTAGTGACCTTGAATATGTACAGATGACCTTGGGTCAAGTTCATGACACACCCTTAGATCATGAGGAATGTTTGTGTGAAATGAGAACCTACCAAGCTTATCCATAAAAAAGATATGGACTGGACACGAATTATAACAAGAGGCCCAAGGGCCACATCGCTCACATGAGCAATTGGCTAGGAAAAAACACAGATCAGATCAGAACTGAAAGTAAACGGGGGGGGGGGGGGGGGGGGGGTTTGAATTTTACACACACACACACACACACACACATCCCCCCGGGGGTCATGATTTGAACAAACTTGAATCTACACTACCTGAGGATGATTCCCTATAAATATAACGAAGCCTGGCTTTGAAGTACTTGAAAAGAAGATTTTAAAAGGTTTCCCTATATGTTCCTATGTAAAACTTTGATCCGCCATTTTGGCCCCACCCTACCCCCGGGGGTCATGATTTGAACAAACTTGAATCTACACTACCTGAGGATGATTCCACATGAGTTTCATCTTTCCTGGCCCAGTGGTTCTTGAGAAGAAGATTTTTTAAAAATGCCATTAATTTTTCTCTAATTCATAATTATCTCCCCTTGGAAAAGGGCCTGGCCCTTCATTTGAACAAACTTGAATCCCCTTCACCCAAGGATACTTTGTACCAAGTTTGGTTGAAATTGGCCCAGTGGTTCTTGAGAAGATGAAAATGTGAAAAGTTTACGACAACAATAACGACAACGACGACAGACAACGGACAAATTTTGATCAGAAAAGCTCACTTGAGCCTTCGGCTCAGGTGAGCTAAAAATTGTCTTCCAGTGACCTTGAACTTCTCCAAAGGTCATGACACACCCTTATGTCATGGGCATTCTTTGTGTGAAATGAGAACCTACCATGTTTATCAATAAGAAAGATATGGACCGGACACAAATTATGAAATGTTTCCTCCAGTGACCTTGAACTTCCCCAAATGACCTTGGGTCAAGGTCATGACACACCCTTAGGTCATGTTCCTCTGTAAGAAAGATATGGACCGGACATGTTTGCACAGACAGACAGACAAGCTGACTCCTATATACCTCCCCAAAGTTTGTGTGCTGGGGGGGGGGTATAAATATGTTTACCAAATTTCATTTCAGTATGTGCAACCTCTGTGATGAAAATGAACAGGAACTGCAAATAATGAGAACTTCTCTAACTCTTTTTCAAGGGGGGTGTAAAATATATAATTTAGGCCAAAATAAAATTATAGTTTGTTTGGAATTGCCTCCCGCCTCACTGAAATGACCCCTCCTGAAAAAATTTTATTGACCAAAAGTAGGACAATTTTTTTTTTATTTAATCATTTTTTTTTGCCCATTATCTGTATCATATGCACCATACAAAACACTGAAATAAAGTGTCTAATATTTATCTTCAATTAAAAAAAATAAATAATTTCCCTCCCTCCCTCCTGTGTCTGAAACCCTTCAGGCGGCAATTCCAAACAAACAATTTTTTAAGGATGGCCTTAGTATAAAAATACTATACAGTATGCTTTAGTTGTTACACTCAAAACTTTTCAGTAAGTTCCTATTCTAGGCATCTACTTTATAAAAAAAAAGACTTTTATAAATAATGACTTGTCACACTGCAATTGATTTGCAAAATAAGGCAAACATTTATGACGTCAATTTTAGAGCAAATTCTCTGATAATGTCACAATGCATCTAGTTCTAATGGTGAATGGGCTTTATGCAAGACAATCATCTGCATATACAAGGATCCTTACTCATGCAAATTATTTTCAAAAGAAACTCACTGCTTGTGCATGAAAAAAGTAATTAGAATTTTATTACTTGACGTGATTAATTATTCCCCCCTTCGAAGAAGGGAGGGCATATTGCTTTGCTGCTGTCTGTCGGTCGGCCCATTTAGTTTCCGTTCATTTTCTTCACAACCGTTGCACATACTGAAATGAAATTTGGTATACAGGTTTATCAGATGAATATCTAGGTCAAGTTCTGTTTTGGGTACAATAGCGCCATTTTTGACAGATTTATGCCCCTTGGACTTAGAAAAATTCCAATTTGTGGGGTGGGGGGCATAAGTGTTTTACAAACATATCTTGTTTACCTTAGAGTTCGTTCTTTAGTATTCATCAATTCTGTATTGAGTCTTGATCGCAATGGACTAATTTGACCCTGGCTTAGGATGTTAATAGCTGTGTTCACATCAGTCAACTGAATTTCATGAAGGGGTAGGGCTTCCTCTTCCTGACTCCAATTAGAACCTTGACTACAAACTGCACTGCTCTGACTATCACTCTGTTACAAAATTAAACATATATATCATATAATTATTCCTCACTACAATAACAAAGTATATGTATATGAACAAATGATGCAGGTATGGATCCAGGACTTTTTAGCATATCAAACTTGTGGGATGGAGAGAAACCCCCAATCCCTGTTATAGATCTGTGCATGTTAGCCATGTATTTTGAAGACAAAGTTTTAGTTTTGTGATATTTGTTAGACGTGTGAGCTACAGAGCTCATTTGAGTGTGTATGTAGCAATTATGGATTCATATCATGAATACCAAACCTGATCTCTTCAAATGGTTCTCTTTTGTAGGGAGAAGGCTGGGTTTTAATGACATGATATTTATAGTTTTAAAAGATGCCTCTACCTCTTTCAAACATAAATGTATAGTTTCATATTCAAATTTTTTTTATGTTTAGAGCACTGTTTCAAAGAAGAAAATTTAACTTTGAAGATTTTTTCCGCTACAAAGGTTGTAAGCTAAAACTTGATACCCCTATGCATTATGGTAGCTTAATCCTACATGGCAGTGTATCACTCAATATTTCCATTTGTAATTTTTTTTCTCTGTGATAACTCTTTGAAGGTTAGGGGAGTTTATTTCTTGATAATTCTGTCGGAGTGTAAATTAGGCAGGTCGATAGGTCAGGAGCTAAGGGGGCCTAATATGCATGCAAATCCTGTGCGCATCTAACTATGTCTGATGCTAAGGAGGCCAAATATGCATGTAAATCTTGTGCGGCTGCCTTTGTGTTTGACGTCACTGGGCGAGGACTATTGAAATTGGCATGGGAGTCCTTGTGTAATTTAAATTGAGTAGTCTACATTTGTAAAGTCAAAATCTACAATTTTGTTTCACAATGAAATGGAAATATAAGGAATCACTGTCTAGTTAGTATAGTATATCAATGATAGTGGGAAACATGGAATAATTTATGCAAAATTATCAATGTTTCCCACTATCGTTGATGCCCTGGTATACTACACTAACTAGACAATGATTCCTTAAAACAATGAATTTAGAGTATACACACTTCACCTTAAAAAATAATTTTTAAAAACATAAATAAACTGAGTAATGGGCATTAGCAAATTATGATCATCTTGTTTTTCAAAAGACTGAAATATTTTGTTTCTTCCAGGCTTGATTTTCCTTAAACTACTGTCTTTACTTTTTATAGATCAATATAAAATTACAAAAGTTCTTCAGATATCTAGCATTCACATGATATTCAATTTGTTCAACACTTACTTCATATATGGTCTCTGTCCTTCTTGCACGGAGTCGACCACTCCATTCTTCATTATCCTCTGTTTCAGTCTGAGCCTATGAGGGTTTTAGAAATAATGGATATTATAGTAATAAAATCATATTAAAGAATTAACATATTCTCAGAATGACTGTTTTGAAAATAGGTCTAAATATTTTCACTATCAATTAATATTCAACATCAAAATTGTATACATACACCATCAGTACATGTAGACTGCTGGTTTTGGATAGAGGTTGCAATATCTGTCTCATCGTTGCCGTGGTTGTCTTCCATGGGAGCTTCAACCTATTCATGATACATCTTAATTAAAATATAATTAAAATTGGTTATTTCATTAAATTATTTTTAACAGTGAATCAAATCTTTACCCTTTTTTATTAAATAAAAAAGCAATAGAACTATATCTAAATTTTGGGATCTAAAACTTAAATTCGGCATAGACTATTCTACTTATAATTATAAAAACTTTCACTGTAGTGTACAGATTATCAGTAAATCGACTTTAGATAAGTAAAAACTGAATTAAGGTAACTTGTACTTCACCACTAGAACTTTATGCTTCACAAACATTTCATTAAAAAACATCTTTTACCCAAATGTTATGCTATGTTACTTACATGGGCTTTAAATACTGAGAATATTACCCAAGATCAGTAATTCTTTTAAAAAATCTTATTTTTAAGTACCATAATTTTTACTAGTTCTTTTTAGGTATTTCTAAATGTAATTTCAAGTAGTGTGGTTGCTATCACAAGTATGCAACTATGGAAGTACAATGTAGCAATTTATTTCACTCAACAAGGAGGCACATACAAGAAGGCACAGAAAAATACAAGTAATTCGTAGATGTGAAAGAGCTCTTGAAATATATGACTGGACTCATTACCTCTCCAATTGATGAAGGAAGCTTCAAATAATCTCCATGACATTTTCTGCATATTCCTAAAATTAATTATAAAAGATTTATCATTGCTCCTTTTTTTCTTAACAATGCTTAACTTGCAATCAACTTCAATAATTATTTTATTGTTTATTTATATATATGTGTGTGTGTGGTTAAATACATTATGAAGATGTAGCACATAAGAACTACATGTATTAATTTGGGTCTAAAATGCATTTGACATCTAAATAGAAAATATTATCATCAAAACATGAGCTGATCAAATCAATCAATCTGTCTAGTATGTTTACATGCATCATTAGTCTACATGTATACTTTAGTCATTTTAAAAGGATGTATTTTTAAAACTTGTAAACATTCATTTAAATCATATAATAAATACATTTAAACATGATTGTATGGGATTTGAGACCCCTGATATTTGATAATCAAATTATCATATTTATTAATTACCATGATTACTTCAACAAACAATAAAAGGATTTCCATTTAGCATCTTTAGATTTTTATGACCACTGCATCATTAAATCAGAAGATAAAAAAAAGGATTTTACACTGCATTATACATATACTAGCTAATATAGAGACCCCCCCCCGGCCTTGTCTCATGGAAACAGCTTAAAAATTAAGATATTAAACTGTGGGATTTTGATTTTTTTATTTAGATTAAATTATCTAAGGGAATATAAATTAACTTACCAGAACCTAGAGGCACTAAAGTACCAAACTCGGAAACCATCCGCTTAGACATAAGAGAGTTGAAACTCCGATACGGCTTGGCATTTCCCTGGTGGTTAGGATACTGACAAGTGGTCTTGGCGCGCCAATGTACACCAAGAAAGTCTCTGTGATAGGGACATACCGTAAATGTTTCCTCAACAGTGAAAAGTCCCACACGCTTACATATTAGGTCTGCTTCACTGAACACATCAGCCTCTCCTTTCATGCCAGATCGAATCCCATTTTTCAACAGATGCGATACAATACCTCTCTTACAGTCTTTTAATCTAATCAATTTTTTTTCTGATGGATGCAAAGGTGAAAAAGAACAGCAATTTGAAGTATAAACACTGATAGAACATTTTTCAATGGAGGCATCCATTACTGATGCCCTGTTGCATTATGGGAAATGGGAGATAACTCTTACAGTTAAATGTGAGGAAGGGGCTTAACTTTGGAAGCTGTATACTTGTTAGCATGAAGAAAACACATAAAATCAAGAATTCTATATAAAAGCATATACTAAGGTGAAAATATTTTTATCATGGAAAACTATATGCAATAATGTTTTTCTGTGTTTTATTGATACAAAAAGGATGAATTTTAATGATATTATATAGGAATTTAACCAAATCCATCAATATAACTTGAGTGTAAATAACACAAATATACAAAAGAAATGAACTTTTTCTTATTCAAATATTTAAATATGTTTAATTTGAATGAAAATTGAGAAGAAATAAACAGATTCAAAAATTGAAGTGTGTAACCCCTACATGGGACCCTGCCTGACTCTTACACGGAACAGTACTTAAAATAGCCTGAGAAATGATTATTTGTTTTTTTTTTTTTAAAGTATTTTTTAAAATACTTTTTAAAAAAAAAACAAATAATCATTTCTCCGGCTATTTTAATCCATTCCCAGGTTAAAAACAATGACCACAGTAATTATCAGTAAATCTCAGCATCGACAGTACCTCAACAGTAATTATCAGTAATTCTCAGCAACGACAGTACCTCAACAGTATTTATCAGCATTTATCAGACTCCACAGTAAAAGACGACAGTAATTATCATTTATCAGCAACAGCTAAAATTATCAGCAACAACAGTAATAATAACAGTAAATATCAGTAATTATCAGCAAGAACAGCACCGTATCAGTAATTATCAAACATTATCAGTAAAATTTGGGATTCTCAGCACTTTTTTCGTCCAGTAGTGCAACCATTAAGACTACCGTCGGAAGCCTTAAATGATAATCCTTGAGAAAGATAAATGATCTGGTGAACTCGATCAATGTCAAGAAAATCAAGGCTATTACTGATGCGCAAAGGAGATGATGAGAATTTTTATTTTAATTTTGGGGGGTATCGATCGACATATCAATTTCAATAACTCAGGAATTATCTGTCAAAGTCACACAAGATTTCGGTTACTTGTTGTTTAAAGTTGAATTAAAATGTTTGATAACAATACTGGAAAACATATTGGAAATAAAAGTTTTAATTTTATTCAAAAGTTTTTTATGCATTTCTTTTTCCTTTCAGTATATATAGTGAAATTATTTCCTTGTGTGAGACCTAAAACCATATCCAACACCAAAAGAGTCCATATAATTGTATGATGTTACTCTCACTTCTGATTTGACTTTCTTCAGGGATGTGGCAAAGACTGACAGAATCAACTTGCTGAGAAAACGACAAATTAATGTTAATTTGCATACCTGCCTGGGTCAACTGTCCATCATCATTATGGTAAATATCAACATTCAAGTTTCACATCTCATTTACTGACACCAAATGCATATTCATGAATATTAATTGATGAGAATATATTTTAATGTTGAATTCTTTCAAAAACATATTTGTTTCATTTAATTATTATTTCAGACTTTTAGTGAAAGCGGTCTGTTGACATGTCAATATTTACAGAACCAAAAATTTGGGGCCATTCCTAAGCGGAAGAATTATGTTTGACCTTGAAACTAGCAGACTTGATAAGTTGCTAAATTAACACCTTTATTTTGACAAAAAAGGTTGTTTTTATAATGGATTAACATTACCTGAAAACTTGTACATGTATGATAAATATCACAGTAAAAAAATAAAATTTTGTGTTTTTACTCACTAAGCTAAGAATATTTACTTTTGACAATATTGAGTTTTTATGCCCCATGATCGAAAGATCCTGGGGTATATTGTTTTAGTCCTGTCTGTCTGTTTATCTGTCTGTCTGTTGTCAACTTTAACCTAGCCCATAACTATTTAGTGGGTGAGGCTATAGCTTTCATATTTCACAGGTGTATTCCTTGAGACAAGATCTTTCTTTGGGTTCCATCAAATAAATAAAATACCACACTTTAACTTTAGTTTAAAATATATTTTATTCATATATAGAAATGGATTGAACAGCAGGCATAAATGCCTATGATAGTTCTCTCCATAACTTTAACTTTGGCGATCATTTTTGAACAGTTAGAGCTAGCTAGGGCTTTCATACTTCACATGTTTATTTATTGTGACAAGATAAATTGTTTTGGCCTTTTGACCTTGACCTAAGAGTTTGACCCACTTTTTAAAAACTTTAATTTTGGTCATAACTTTTGAACAGTTAGAACCATCAAGGGCTTTCATAATTCACAGGTATATTCCTTGTCATAAGACCATCCTTTGGGTACCAACACTTTTGACCTTGACCTGTATTTGAGAGAATTCAACCCTTGCCATAAGCTGTTATACGGGGTATCAGTGATTCACAAACACATCTTGTTATTACAGTTATCACAATAAATACACAAAATGCTTGTACTTTAAAATAAATATCTTTAAGTTAGTATTAATGTACTGGTATTATTGAATTTCTATAGCATCAGCCAATGGGAGGCCTGCCTGGTATAACTCAAACAGGAGCTGTGGAGATACGAGTCCAGAGATATGTTCCCTATCATTCCATGTTCTTCTCAACATTTCCATACAGACTGGTGCAGATTGGGAGATATTTTCTCTGTCTTCCTCCAAACATTTCCAACTAGACTCATTGATATTTTTGCTTTAATTCTGTGTTCTTCCAAGAATTTCCATAGAGACTGGAGCTGAGCAAATCACCAGAAAAATCTGTGATTGTACTTCATGGATAACTGACAATTTAAATGTACAAGTTATAACTATAGACTTGACATTTTCTGTGATATACCTGTTATAGGTGTATAGTAATTTCATGTTGTATTGTATAATTTATAATTTCTTTGATATTCATGAATTAGGGGTTACTGGGGCTATAGAAATTTCATGTTGTTTTGTATATTTTATAATTTCTATGATATTCATGTATTAGGGGTTACTTACACTGGGGCTATAGAAATTTCATGTTGTTTTGTATATTTTATAATTTCTATGATATTCATGTATTAGAGGTTACTGGGGTCATAGAAATTTCATGTAGTTTTGTATATTTTATAATTTCTATGATATTCATGTATTAGGGGTTACTGAGGTTATAGAAATTTCATGTAGTTGTTTGTGTACTTTATACTTTCTTTGTTATATCATGGGTTATTGTTTTATGGGAATGTTACTGGCATTGTAAAATATTCTTTAATTTCTGTGATATGTTTGGAATTAAATTTGGGGGGTATTTTGAGAATTTTATGAAGGTAAATTATGTATTCTTTATAGGAGTACATGAAATTCTAATACACACAGTAACCCTAGATATCAGATAGAAATTATAAAGTATACAATACTAAATGTAATTCCCTATCCCCATTAATCCCATATAAATGATAGAAACTATAAAGAATACAAAACAATTAACATGAAATTTTAGTACACCTAATAACCCAAGATATATAATAGAAATCATAATTTTTAAAAATTACACTAAATTAAATTTAAATGGGATTTTGGCTGTAGCATCTAATACATCAAATACGTGGCATTTCAATTATATGTCTGGGTTATAAAAAATCTTTAATATGTAGTATTACACACATAACATTTCTGTAATTTATCTGGGGTTAAAGGTTTATTGCAGTATTGTACACATTTGTCAAAATTGATCTAGGTCTATAATTATAAGGGTATGGTAATTTATTGGCCGTATTAACATTTTTCGCATTATGGGGGCTAGTAATAGTTTTGAACTGGGGATTGATTTCGTGTTGCAGGAATTTTTTGTAGTATTGCATGTCATATTGTCTTATATGAATGTGTGTATGGGGTTATGGGATAAATTTATACCATTTACAATTTAGTTTTGTAATTTGTCTAATTTGTGTGTTTGTGGGAGGGGGGGGGGGGGGAAATAGAAATAGAAAAACAATGTTATGGATTTTGATTAACATTGTACATGTATATAATTGTATTGTATTGTGTTTAAAAATGTCGCTTTGTTTCCATGTTACATTTAAATA